TCTCCTCTTCATCTGTGAGGAATTGTCCAGCATTCACTGCCATATAGGAGGATTGATATTATATAGCAGTTCAGCACTCTTTTTATTTGTTTCTCTTGCTTCAAGTCTCCTCTTCATCTGTGAGGAAATTGTCCAGCATTCACTGCCATATAGGAGGATTGATATTACATAGCAGTTCAGCACTTTTTTCTTTGTTTCTCTTGCTTCAAGTCTCCCCTTCATCTGTGAGGAAATTGTCCAGCATTCACTGCCATATAGGAGGATTGATATTACATAGCAGTTCAGCACTTTTTTCTTTGTTTCTCTTGCTTCAAGTCTCCCCTTCATCTGTGAGGAAATTGTCCAGCATTCACTGCCATAGGAGGAGGATTGATATTACATAGCAGTTCAGCACTCTTTTATTTGTTTCTCTTGCTTCAAGTCTCCTCTTCATCTGTGAGGAAATTGTCCAGCATTCACTGCCATATAGGAGGATTGATATTACATAGCAGTTCAGCACTTTTTCTTTGTTTCTCTTGCTTCAAGTCTCCCTTCATCATCTGTGAGGAAATTGTCCAGCATTCACTGCCATATAGGAGGATTGATATTACATAGCAGTTCAGCACTTTTTTTCTTTTTTTCTCTTGCTTCAAGTCTCCCCTTCATCTGTGAGGAAATTGTCCAGCATTCACTGCCATATAGGAGGATTGATATTACATAGCAGTTCAGCACTCTTTTTATTTGTTTCTCTTGCTTCAAGTCTCCTCTTCATCTGTGAGGAAATTGTCCAGCATTCACTGCCATATAGGAGGATTGATATTACATAGCAGTTCAGCACTTTTTCTTTGTTTCTCTTGCTTCAAGTCTCCCCTTCATCTGTGAGGAAATTGTCCAGCATTCACTGCCATATAGGAGGATTGATATTACATAGCAGTTCAGCACTTTTTTTTTTTGTTTCTCTTGCTTCAAGTCTCCCTTCATCTGTGAGGAAATTGTCCAGCATTCACTGCCATATAGGAGGATTGATATTACATAGCAGTTCAGCACTCTTTATTTGTTTCTCTTCTTTCAAGTCTCCTCTTCATCTGTGAGGAAATTGTCCAGCATTCACTGCCATATAGGAGGATTGATATTACATAGCAGTTCAGCACTCTTTTATTTGTTTCTCTTGCTTCAAGTCTCCTCTTCATCTGTGAGGAAATTGTCCAGCATTCACTGCCATATAGGAGGATTGATATTACATAGCAGTTCAGCACTCTTTTCTTTGTTTCTCTTGCTTCAAGTCTCCTCTTCATCTGTGAGGAAATTGTCCAGCATTCACTGCCATATAGGAGGATTGATATTACATAGCAGTTCAGCACTCTTTTCTTTGTTTCTCTTGCTTCAAGTCTCTCTCTTCATCTGTGAGGAAATTGTCCAGCATTCACTGCCATATAGGAGGATTGATATTACATAGCAGTTCAGCACTCTTTTCTTTGCTTCTCTTGCTTCAAGTCTCCTCTTCATCTGTGAGGAAATTGTCCAGCATTCACTGCCATATAGGAGGATTGATATTACATAGCAGTTCAGCACTCTTTTCTTTGTTTCTCTTGCTTCAAGTCTCCTTTCATTTTTGAGGAAATTGTCCAGCATTCACTGCCATATAGAAGGATTGATATTACATAGCAGTTCAGCACTCTTTTCTTTGTTTCTGTTGCTTTAAGTCTCCTCTTCATCCGTGAGGAAATTGTCCAGCATTCACTGCCATATAGGAGGATTGATATTACATAGCAGTTCAGCACTCTTTTATTTGTTTCTCTTGCTTCAAGTCTCCTCTTCATCTGTGAGGAAATTGTCCAGCATTCACTGCCATATAGGAGGATTGATATTACATAGCAGTTCAGTACTATTTTCTTTGTTTCTCTTGCTTCAAGTCTCCTCTTCATCTGTGAGGAAATTGTCCAGCATTCACTGCCATATAGGAGGATTGATATTACATAGCAGTTCAGCACTCTTTTCTTTGTTTCTCTTGCTTCAAGTCTCTTCTTCATCTGTGAGGAAATTGTCCAGCATTCACTGCCATATAGGAGGATTGATATTACATAGCAGTTCAGCACTCTTTTCTTTGTTTCTCTTGCTTTCAAGTCTCCCCTTCATCTGTGAGGAAATTGTCCAGCATTCACTGCCATATAGGAGGATTGATATTACATAGCAGTTCAGCACTCTTTTCTTTTGTTTCTCTTGCTTCAAGTCTCCCCTTCATCTGTGAGGAAATTGTCCAGCATTCACTGCCATATAGGAGGATTGATATTACATAGCAGTTCAGCACTTTTCTTTTTTTCTCTTGCTTCAAGTCTCCTCTTCATCTGTGAGGAAATTGTCCAGCATTCACTGCCATATAGGAGGATTGATATTACATAGCAGTTCAGCACTCTTTTCTTTGTTTCTCTTGCTTCAAGTCTCCCCTTCATCTGTGAGGAAATTGTCCAGCATTCACTGCCATATAGGAGGATTGATATTACATAGCAGTTCAGCACTCTTTTATTTGTTTCTCTTGCTTCAAGTCTCCTCTTCATCTGTGAGGAAATTGTCCAGCATTCACTGCCATATAGGAGGATTGATATTACATAGCAGTTCAGCACTCTTTTCTTTTTTTCTCTTGCTTCAAGTCTCCCCTTCATCTGTGAGGAAATTGTCCAGCATTCACTGCCATATAGGAGGATTGATATTACATAGCAGTTCAGCCTCTTTTATTTGTTTCTCTTGCTTCAAGTCTCCTCTTCATCTGTGAGGAAATTGTCCAGCATTCACTGCCATATAGGAGGATTGATATTACATAGCAGTTCAGCACTCTTTTTATTTGTTTCTCTTGCTTCAAGTCTCCTCTTCATCTGTGAGGAAATTGTCCAGCATTCACTGCCATATAGGAGGATTGATATTACATAGCAGTTCAGCACTTTTTCTTTGTTTCTCTTGCTTCAAGTCTCCCTTCATCTGTGAGGAAATTGTCCAGCATTCACTGCCATATAGGAGGATTGATATTACATAGCAGTTCAGCACTCTTTTTCTTTGTTTCTCTTGCTTCAAGTCTCCTCTTCATCTGTGAGGAAATTGTCCTGCATTCACTGCCATATAGGAGGATTGATATTACATAGCAGTTCAGCACTCTTTTTCTTTTGTTTCTCTTGCTTCAAGTCTCCTCTTCATCTGTGAGGAAATTGTCCAGCATTCACTGCCATATAGGAGGATTGATATTACATAGCAGTTCAGCACTCTTTTCTTTGTTTCTCTTGCTTCAAGTCTCCTCTTCATCTGTGAGGAAATTGTCCAGCATTCACTGCCATATAGGAGGATTGATATTACATAGCAGTTCAGCACTCTTTTCTTTGTTTCTCTTGCTTCAAGTCTCCTCTTCATCTGTGAGGAAATTGTCCAGCATTCACTGCCATATAGGAGGATTGATATTACATAGCAGTTCAGCACTCTTTTTATTTGTTTCTCTTGCTTCAAGTCTCCTCTTCATCTGTGAGGAAATTGTCCAGCATTCACTGCCATATAGGAGGATTGATATTACATAGCAGTTCAGCACTCTTTTTCTTTGTTTCTCTTGCTTCAAGTCTCCCTTCATCTGTGAGGAAATTGTCCAGCATTCACTGCCATATAGGAGGATTGATATTACATAGCAGTTCAGCACTCTTTTATTTGTTTCTCTTGCTTCAAGTCTCCTCTTCATCTGTGAGGAAATTGTCCAGCATTCACTGCCATATAGGAGGATTGATATTACATAGCAGTTCATCACTCTTTTCTTTTGTTTCTCTTGCTTCAAGTCTCCTCTTCATCTGTGAGGAAATTGTCCAGCATTCACTGCCATATAGGAGGATTGATATTACATAGCAGTTCAGCACTCTTTTCTTTGTTTCTCTTGCTTCAAGTCTCCTCTTCATCTGTGAGGAAATTGTCCAGCATTCACTGCCATATAGGAGGATTGATATTACATAGCAGTTCAGCACTCTTTTCTTTGTTTCTCTTGCTTCAAGTCTCCCTTCATCTGTGAGGAAATTGTCCAGCATTCACTGCCATATAGGAGGATTGATATTACATAGCAGTTCAGCACTCTTTTCTTTTGTTTCTCTTGCTTCAAGTCTCCCCTTCATCTGTGAGGAAATTGTCCAGCATTCACTGCCATATAGGAGGATTGATATTACATAGCAGTTCAGCACTCTTTTCTTTGTTTCTCTTGCTTCAAGTCTCCTCTTCATCTGTGAGGAAATTGTCCAGCATTCACTGCCATATAGGAGGATTGATATTACATAGCAGTTCAGCACTCTTTTCTTTGTTTCTCTTGCTTCAAGTCTCCCCTTCATCTGTGAGGAAATTGTCCAGCATTCACTGCCATATAGGAGGATTGATATTACATAGCAGTTCAGCACTCTTTTCTTTGTTTCTCTTGCTTCAAGTCTCCTCTTCATCTGTGAGGAAATTGTCCAGCATTCACTGCCATATAGGAGGATTTATATTACATAGCAGTTCAGCACTCTTTTCTTTGTTTCTCTTGCTTCAAGTCTCTTCTTCATCTGTGAGGAAATTGTCCAGCATTCACTGCCATATAGGAGGATTGATATTACATAGCAGTTCAGCACTCTTTTCTTTGTTTCTCTTGCTTCAAGTCTCCTCTTCATCTGTGAAGAAATTGTCCAGCATTCACTGCCATATAGGAGGATTGATATTACATAGCAGTTCAGCACTGTTTTTTTCTGTTTCTTTCTTTGTTTCTTCATAATTGGTTTAGCTCTTGTGTCGTAATTTTATGGTTTAACGTAGGTGATCGCTTGTTTTGAAAAAGAGACAACTTATTCACAAAAAAAAAAAAGTAGCAAATAAGAGGAAATATTAAAGTTGAGATCCGGCTTTCATGCTGTAATCACAAGCCCACGCAAAAAAGACATATCCGAATTAGTTTATCATGACCTTAGAGTTAATATGGCGTGACCATTGTAGGCCAAATATTACCGATTGCAGACACATCATGAATGTACGATACTATGAACTTTCAAACGAGCAAAGTCGTAGAGGTACACATACCTTTGTGGTTTCTTTCTATCTATCTATCTATCTATCTATCTATCTATCTATCTATCTATCTATCTATCTATCTTCAGTCTGCTCGTGTCTGTCTGTCTGTCTATATATTTTCAGCCTGTCCTATCTATCTATCTATCTATCTATCTATCTATCTATCTATCTATCTATCACAATCTGTTTTTATCTATCTATCTGTCTATCACAGTCTGTTTTATCTATCTATCTATCTATCTATCTATCTATCTATCTATTCCAGTCTGTTTTATCTATCACAGATTTTTTTAATCTATCTATCTATCTATCTATCTATCTATCTATCTATCTATCTATCTATCTATCACAATCTGTTTTTATCTATCTGTCTATCACAGTCTGTTTTATCTATCTATCTATCTATCTATCTATCTATCTATCTATCTATCTATCTATCACAATCTGTTTTTATCTATCTATCTGTCTATCACAGTCTGTTTTATCTATCTATCTATCTATCTATCTATTCCAGTCTGTTTTATTTATCACATATTTTTTCTATCTATCTATCTATCTATCTATCTATCTATCTATCTATCTATCTATCTATCTCAATATATAATCCTAGTGGGTTTGTGTAAGGAATTATAGACACGAACGCTAACCGACAAGACTTAACCAACGAAAAACGAACAACTCAAAAATAAAAAAAATATGAGAATTTACTTTTCTTTTTCATATTTCATTTCTAATCAAGCTGAAATAAAATCGAAAATTTATAATCGTTTCTTATTTGTTCCTATCATTCATATTTGATTCCATTTCAAAATATATATATATATATATATATATATATATATATATATATATATATACATATATATATATATATATATATATATATATATATATATACCCAAGTATAGGATTTGTGTATACGGAATAAATTACAATAACCAAAAATTATTATTCTTAAAAGACTGTTCAATACAAAGTAGAGCAAATATACTTATTTATTCGAAAATTATGGTATAAATACGTTATAAAATCACTACAAAAATAGCCATTTTGTTTCAACAGTTCTGGTGTCTTATGAAGTGATGCTGTTGAATGTAGAACCTAGATTTTATTCTACATTCAACACCATCACTCGATAAGCCACCAAAAGTGTTGAAACAAAATGGCTATTTTTGTAGTGATTTTATAACATATTTATGTTATAATTTTTTAATAAATAATTATATATATATATGTGTGTGTGCTTAAAGGTTATTTATAGTGGATACCTTTATTTGAGTAGACGGTCCGTTTATTTATTAAACAGGTGTTTTTTTTTTTTTTTTCATCTGTCCGCCTGTATATTGGAGAAATCGTATTAAAGAAAAATATGCGATCTCCCGCAGCATTCGAACTTGAGTATCGTAGCCGAGAGATCGAGACCACAGACCACATTGACTTTATATTTCCGTTCAGGTTATAATTGTTTATAACTCTGTTTTTGTGAATCTCCTTGCAACTTAGTTCGTTCAGGAGTCTGTCGTATTGCAGTTTAGGCGTTACTTTGGTTATCTTTAGTTTCCGTATTAGATGTCTTCGGCATCGACAAGATCACAGAGGTAATAAACGGAATATACAACAGTGGTGAGATGCTGGAAGACCACACTAAATCCATCTTCATGACAATACCTATGGTAGCAGGGGCCAATGAAAGCGACCTCCATAGGACAACCCATTTGTTGAGTCACATAACCAAGCCAATGATGTGAATCGTAAGGAATAGAGCATGAAGCAGAATTAGACCAGAAAATAGGACATGAACAACTTGACTTTGCCAAGGGCACAAGAAATGCGATAGTCACGACTAGAGATCAATACAAATGAAGAATGAAGTGCACTTATGTTTGATAGGTTACGCAAAACCATTTGACAAGGTACGGCACAAGGATCTATTTGAACTGCTAGGAAAACTCTTTTTGGAAAATATGTTAGAACAATGCAGAATTTACATTGAGCGAAAGTCGCTTCCATACGGATAGAAAATGAATTTGGTAACTCCACAAAACTAGAATAGGGCGTGAGACAAGGAGGTGTCTTCTCTCTAGATTTACTCAGCCCCCACAACGAGGCTATCCCAAGGGAACTGGAGACCCTAACAGGATTTATTATCGGTGGTCATGATCTCAACAATATAAGAGACGCGAATGACACTGTTGGTGGCTGACTCGGAAAAGTTACGGCAGGATGTCTTTTTTTCCGTCTTGATTGGACCAGCCTTTACATTTTCTCACTAGCGGGTGAGGTTCTTGTTTCTGTCTGACGGCAGAATACAGCAGCAATTCTTATTATTGTACCTGACTAACACAATTTTAATTTCTTTTAAATTGTTGAAGTTTTTAATTTGATTTGATGTGCTTGCTCTCCACATCCTTTTATACAATTATAAATATATATATATATATATATATAAAAGTATATAATTGGTATACACGGAATGAATTCCAATAACCAACAATTACTATTCTTAAAAGAGTGCTCAATACAAAGTAGAGCAGATATAATTATTTTATAAAAAAAATTTATAATAAGTATGTTATAAAATCACTACAAAATAGCCATTTGTTTAACACACTCTGTGTCTTATCAAGTGATGGTGTTGAAAAGAAAATAAATGGTTTTTTTCACTCTCAGAAATAAAAAACCATTTATTTTATTTTCAACACCATCACTTGATAAGACACAGAGTGTGTTGAAACAAAATGGCTATTTTTTGTAGTGATTTTATAAATATACTTATGTTATAAATTTTTTTTAAAAAAATAATTATATATATATATATATATATATATATATATATATATATATATAATTATATGAATCATTCATGTAAAAAAACAAATACAGAGATTAATGATTTAAATGGCGAGAATACATCTTCGCAAACAATTTCAATAAGGTACACTAACCCCGAACCTGTATATGAATGATATGATCTCTGTTTATAAATTCCAGTTGCATAAGGTCTTTTTTAGTTTTTACAAGCTTTGGTCTGTTCCTACAGACATCCTCAGGTATGGAAATAGATTTGTTCTTGTTTTTTACATTTCTCATAGCATTTTTTCGGATTACATCTATATTTTCGTTGTCCTCTTAATACCAAGAAGTAAAAAACAAAAAAAAAATTGAACTGCACCTATAATCGAAATTGAAATAATTGATCCAACGTGCAACTTTCGGATAATAAGTGTGACATTTCTGTAATTATTGAACAATATAGTTCATGCCATATTGACGGAAAATATACCAGTAAAAAGAATTCTCTTATTACTATTTTTGTACAAAAACGCACAACCTTAAAATTTAAAATTAAAAAACTCAGCGTTGCGACCGCTTGAACCGTCCGTTTGTAGTAGCATTAAATACGCTCTCAGAAATAATATATTCAATTTTTTAATAACATTCACATTTTTAATGACATCCAAATTTTAATAACATTCAAATTTTTTATGATATTCATATTTTTAATGATATCCAAATTTTAATGACATTCAAATTTTTAATGGCATTCACATTTTTAATGACATCCAATTTTAATGACATTCAAATTTTTAATGATATTCACATTTTTAATGACATCCAAATTTTAATGACATTCAAATTTTTAATGATATTCACATTTTAATGATATCCAAATTTTAACGACATTCAAATTTTAATAATATTCACATTTTTAATGACATCCAAATTTTAATGAATTCAAATTTTTAATGACTTTCGCATTTTTAGTGGTAATAAACACACTCTCAGAAATAAATTCCGAGAAACCTGTTTTGAATCTGACCTTCAAAACTGTCGTAAATTAGTCGATTTTGTGGTTTCCCCAACACGCGGTTCTCACCAACCCACACAGACATATTTGAGCTGGGTGGTGGTAACTAAAAAAAAAACAAAAAAAAAACCTAAGTCATTTCCGACGATTATGATTCACTGATTGATTATTTTACCGGTTTTCAACCACTATGGGTCATTAATATGTGGAAAGAGCAGAAAGCAAGACACGTGGAAGCTTGTATTCCCCCACCCCGTGTCGCATAGGATATACAGGTAGGGTCCTTTAAGGGGTCATAATTACAGCGTTATAATTAAAGTACAAGGTCATGTATTTGAAACTTATGCCTCGTTTACTTGGTCCCATGCCGGAAGTCAGTTTTGTTCAAAGACAGAGACCGCAGACCTACTTGCCTGTTATAGATTCCAACACTTTGGCTAGAGACACAGCCAACGAAATGGGAGAAGGAAGATCAGAGGGTGGCAGGAGACTGGCGAATTTTTGCTACCTGTCATTTATTGGTTACTTTACCAGCATATCAACCATTATGGGACATTAATGACGAAACGATTGCTTGATTGACTTGGTTTAGCGGCATGACAACCACCGTGGGAAACTCAATGTCGACATCCAAATATTTTGCACGGAGCTTTAAGAATTAAAACTACAAATGAATTGTTACCTGGCACAGGTGGTGTCGCGGCTATGATTAGCTTAGACGAGCTCTGACCAGCTTGGACAAGCTATGACCAGCTTAGACCAGCGGCCTGAGTGGAAACATTCGGGTCCCAACGCTAAAAACCGACCTTGTTTCACTACCTGACTCAGTGGTGGTGGGGGGGATCAAGTAACTCAACATAGTTACCCGTTACAGGTGGTATCATTGTTATGAGTAGCTTTGACGAGCTCTGTCCAGATTACACAGGTTATGACCAGCTAATACCAGCTTAGAGCAGCGGCCCGAGTAGAGACACTCGGATTACCACGTAAAAAACCGACCTTGTGTCACGACCTCACTCTGTGGGTGGGGATCAAATAAATCAACATAGTTACCTGGCACAGGTGGTATCACGGCTCTGACCCACTTTGACGAGCTCTGACCAGCTTGGACAAGTTATAATCAGCTTAGACCAGCGGCCCGAGTGGAAAAACTCGGGTCACCACGTTAAAATCCGACCTTGTTTAACTACCTGACTCAGTGGGGCGATCAAGTAAATCAACCTAGTTACTTGGTACAGGTGGTATCATCGCTATGACTAACTTTGACTGGATTGCACAGGCTATGACCAGTTAATACCAGCTTAGACCTGCGGACCGAGTAGAGACACTCTGATCACCACGTTAAAAACCGAACTTTTGTCACAACCTGACTCAGTGGGTGGGGGTCAAGTAAATCAACATAGTTACCTGGTGTCATGGCTATATCTCGCTTTGGCTAGCTCTGACCGGACTGGACAAGCTATGATACGCTAAGATCAGCTTAGACCAGAGGCCCGAGTGTTTCCACTCGGGCTCCTACGTTAAAAACCAACCATGTATCACAACCTGACTTAGTGGGGGTGGGGCGGGGGTCAAGTAAATCAACATAGTTACAGGGGTATCACTAGCACTGACGAGCTCTAACCGAATTAGACAAGCTCTGACAAGCTTAGAACAGCGGCCCGACTGGAAACACTTGGGTCTACACGTTAAAAACCGACCTTGTGTCACAACCTGACTCAGTCGTGGGTTGGGGGATCTTCCATCTACGTCTGTGTTGCTGTTCCATCCAATCGAGTAACACCTCTGTCTGTTAACACTATCTCAGTCTTTCCATTATCTATCTATCTATCTATCTATCTATCTATCTATGTACATTATTCATCTATGTCTGTCTGTCTCTATCTATCTATCTATCTATCTATCTATCTATCTATCTATCTATCTATATCTATCTCAGTCTTTCCATTATCTATCTATCTATCTATTATAATGAAGTGTTCCACTCTCCCTATTACCTATTGTGGACTGACTTTATCAGTAATATATGTATTATGCACAGGACATATCAGAGTCTGTCTGTCTGTCTGTCTCTCTCTCTCTCTCTCTCTCTGTCTCTCTCTCTCTCTCTGACTGGCTTCAGGAAGTGTTAGTCAACTCTCTGCCTTCAGTAGTGTATTCTCTTTTATAATAAATCTCTCTTTCTTCCATCTACGTCCGTGTTGTAATTCCATCCAATCGAATAACATCTTTGTCTGTTAACACTATCTCAGTCTTTCCATTATCTATCTATCTATCTATCTATCTATCTATCTGATGTAATGAAATGTTCCACTCTCCCTATTACCTATTGTGGACTAACTTTATCAGTAATATATGTAGTATGCACAGGACATACCATAGACCTTTTGCCTGTCTGTCTGTCTCTCTCTCTCTCTCTCTCTCTGACTGGCTTCAGGAAGTGTTAGTCAACTCCCTGTCTTCAGTAGTGTATTCTCTTTTACAATAAACCACTCCTTCTTCCATCTACGTTCGTGTTGCTGTTCCATCCAATCGAGTAACACCTCTGTCTGTTAACACTATCTCAGTCTTTCCATTATCTATCTATCTATCTATCTATCTATCTATCTATCTATATATATATATATATATATATATATATATATATCTGTTGTAATAGAATGTTCCACTCTCCTTATTACCTATTGTGGACTGACTTTATCAGTAATATATGTAGTATGCACAGGACATACCAGAGACTGTTTGTCTGTCTATCTCTCTGACTGGCTTTGGGATGTGTTAGTCGACTCCCTGTCTTTCAGTAGTGTATTCTCTTTTACAATAAACCTCTCTTTCTTCCATCTACGCCTGTGTTGCTGTTCCTCCCACTCGAGTACCACCTTTGTCTGTTTGTAACCTTTTTAAGGATACAATAGTTTATTATTTTTCACACACATAACAGTTGGAATATAATATGCAAGTGTTTGTTTCTCTACACGGATTGATATAAGAATGTGTATTAAAAACAAATACTGGATTTCCTATTAAAAATGCCATGAAAACAGAAAAATGGCCCTAGCTAAAGAACAACTTGTTTAATTTTAATCAAACTTAGTACATTTTTTTTCTCATTAATCATTACTCAATAAGTATTTTCCCTCCCAAAAATAAATGAAAAGCACAAAAAACGCCATAATCCAAATATATCCAGATTTAAACTTTTTCCGGACCAAAAATCTCTTAACGCAAACATATCCTGATTTAAAGTATGAAAATAAATTATTTTACAATATCAATTGATATATGTTTTACTTCTTTACATTAAAAGAGAAATTTCTTCCATAAAACGTACATGGAATACAAAATTAATAATTAATACTGAAGATGGTATAAGAAGGTTTATTGTCCCACTGGGCTTCATAGTTAACATGTTGCATGAAAATTTGAAGGAATCGCATAAAACAATAATAAGTTTATTTATTATTATAAATACTTGTTTCTACCTCACATTTATCACAAGATATGTAAAAGCAACAACTCAGCGTGCATTTATTTATTTATTTACCATCAAGTCATGTGACGCATAGACCCTCTTCACATTTCAAGTAGTTCTTTATAAAAATAAGTTCTAATGTAGTATAGCGAATGGTATAAACATATGTTGTGTTATGCATATTTAAATGTATTTAATAATGTTTTTATAATGTATTATGAATGTTTATTATTTTTCACACACATAATAGCTGGAATATAATATGCATTTATTGATATATGCGGATTGGTATAAGAATGTGTATCGCAAACAAATGCAGAATTTTCTATTAAAAATGACTTAAAAACAGAAAAATGGTCCTAGCTAAAGTATCCTTTTTCTAATTTTAATGAAATTTGGCACTGCATTTGGCAGGGTTTCAAGGTACAATATTCTCCTAAATTGGTTGGGGTATTATGGATCATTTATGCTGTATCTTGGGAACACACATGCATACAAGATTATAGATATAAAGCTGAGTCAGAATTAATTTCCGTTTTTGTTTATCAATTTCTTTCCTCAAAAAAAATTACAATTTATATTTTATTCGTTTATTTAACTACCATCATTTGCAATGGCTTGTTGCCACTTTATCAGGCAACACTTCGATGAGATTTTGAGTAAAATTATACATACAATGCCTGCAGAGATAAATTAGAATTATGATACACATACAAACATGACTTATACACACAAACGCTGCTTGACAAGTCAATTCAACTTTTAAGTAGCCATTTATAAAAAAAAAAAAAAAAAACAAGTTCTAATGTAGTGCAGTGAATTGTATATAAATATATGTTGTGTTATGCATATTTAAATTTATTTAATAATGTTGTTATAATGTATTATGTGACGACTGGGAATAGACCAGTTGGCAACCAGGGAATAGACCTGGTGACGGTTGGAGAGACAGATTGGCATCCCGGAAAGACGGGTAGTGGGGCAAGTTGGGTTAGTGTTGTGGGGCTCTCCTCTTTTTACATAAGATGAACTCGTCCAAAGTATATTTATACTGACAGAGAGCTTTGACTGTTTGCAACGTCTGTCGAACTCTCTGCATTAGCAGAGAGGAACCCGGACGAAGCTTTGCCGAAGGGCAAGGTTTCGTCCGGGGAGTTAGACAGGGCCTGAACCCGTCTAGGCGGGTTCAAAGGCTATATTTTTGGCCGATTCTACGAGCTCGGAGAAACCCACTTTAAACTCGGCCTTGTGTCACATATATTCCTCGTGGGTGGGATATTAAATACCGAGATACGTGGAGATACAGTCTCGACGTCTGTCGAACTCACTGCTTTGCCAGAGAGGAACCCGGACGAAGCTTTGCCGAAGGGCAAGGTTTCGTCCGGGGAGGTAGACAGGCCCTGAACCCGTCTAGGCGGGTTCAAAGGGGATATTTTTGGACGAGCCTACGGGCTCGGAGAAACCCACTTTAAACTCGGCTTTGTGCCACATATATTCCTCGTGGGTGGGATATGAGATACGTTGAGATACGTGGAGATACGTTGAGATACGTTGAGACAGGTTGAGAGATGACAGAGACAGACACAGGGTGTTCTCAGAGAGTTATACAAGAGTCCAGAGAGAGAGAGAGAGAGAAAGAGAGAGAGAGAGAGAGAGATGATTACGGCTTTACTTACAGAGACTTGTACATATACGTTCTACTAACCCGCATTCCTGGACTATTAATCTTCACTTCAAATCTGTATTCTTACGTCTAATACACTTATTTTATAAGAATGATTCAAGGTACAAAATGAGGTAACAATATTATTAATTTTATTATTACTTGAACATTTTAATCAAATTATCAATTATTGTAATAATTATTATTATTATTCACATTAGACAATATTACAATAACTTATATTCTAAATACATTTCAAATTGCGTGTAATTAATAATAAAATTGATAATATTGTTTCCTTATCATTATATATCTTGAACTGCTTTTAAAAGAAACACAACGGGTTTAGGGATGGTCTACTAAGGAAATCTTTTTCGGCTAGACAGTCGAACTCTCTGCCTCTGAGCAGAGAGGAACCCGGATGAGGCTCAGCCGAAGTTATAAGGTTATAATAGCTATTAAGAGCTTTAAAGTTGAGGTTATACTAAAATAGAATTTATTCTAACCAATAAGTATTAAATTATATGATAAAATTTGATATTAAAATTAAAAGTAAAAAATTACCAATTTTAAAATCTAAATTTAATCTCTATTAAGTTTAAAATTATAAAATTACTGAGGAGAAAAGAAAAAATACATATGTTATTCAATTTATTTCTTCATTGAAATTACGTTAAAATAGACGCTCATATCAGCTGGTCTTCCCGACAAAATGTATACATTTTAATGCCAAGTGTGTGAGTGGGGTGCTAACCTCTCGCGTAAAATAATGCAGACACACTCAGATTATAATACATATGCACCCAGACATATATACACAAAGAAAAGTGATGAGACAGGAAACATCTCCACGGCACTTTATAAAAAAATTTAAAAAAAAAAAGAACACATACATACATACATACACAATTAAATGTGCATGCATTTTCTTTACACATAGACACCGATAAATACATCTACATACATCCACATACATTGACCTAGACAATCTGATACCACAACCAAGAAATATTCAAGACTGAAAGTGTTAGTAAACGACTGCAAACCACTTATTAAAATATAACTTATACGGGTAAATATACAAAAACAAAAATGTTTAAAAATAGCATTATCTAATATATGAAAAAACGAAAATTCCAAACACACAAATATCTATAAAAATATATATTTTTATCATATAAGTCGATGTCTGCCTTATTATATATTAGATGAAAGAAAATATGATAATAAGAAATACCTACATATATAAGTGTACAGTCACACATATATACATATATACACATACATACATACACACAAATATATGTCTACACATACCTACATATATATATATATACGCATATATATACCTACATATATATATATACACATACAAAAGCAAGTATGAATATATCAACCCACACAGCGACGTAAAAAATAAACAAACCAAATATATACATACATGCACATATATACAAATACACATACACATACATATACACATACACATACATACATAAACATATGCATGTATACATATGCGTATATAAATTAAACACAAACATACATATATGCCAACACATATACAAACACACGCATATACATAAAAAACATACAAACGTAAATTCACCTATATATACATATATACACACAAACACATCTACACACACACATATATATATATATACATACACACATAAAAATGGGAATATATATACAGAAACCTACATACATTCTAACAACATTATCTTATTCACGATAAAATATAGTAAAAGTTCATAATAATTTTTTTAAAAGTCACTACACGCAGTTGTTGATTAAGTCTATCAACAATTAAAAAATCCCTATCAAACAAAAGTAGATTTTAGTTAGTATCGATGATATATTCCAAGATACTAATATATACATACATATACATATACTAGGACATACGAACATACATCCGCATATACAAATATATAATCATGTATAAATACCCGTATCGACACATCCACGTATACACATATATAAGTACACTCGCATCCACGCCTATAGACATAAATACACACACATATACATATATATACATATATACACACATAAACACATATAAATACAAATACATATACACATACACATATATATATACATATACACACACACTCACATATACATTTATATACATATATATACACACACAAATACACA